GAACGGTGCTGGAGCGAACTTGTGGAACATGGGTGCTGAGTATACAAGAATGATGAACAAGGATGAACGCAAGGAGGCAAAGCAGACGAAGAAAGAGGAAGACAGCCAAGGAAGTAAAGAAATGGAGCACGTGAAAATGCCAAGGGGTTCTGGGTGGAGAGGAAAGCGAGTAAAAGAGAGCTAGGGATAAGAAATCGCATTAACTCAATAACCCATTGCTGATAAATGTAGGTCTTGAGGCTATCCGTAAATCAGATATATGATATGTTTTCACCCTATTTCGGTTAAGGTGATAAGGTCCCACGATGATATAAGTAGGCCTTACGTTTCCAATGAATGCATACAACCATACTTTTCCGAAAGGCATTATCTTCCAGACAGGAATGGACTTCAGCTTCAGCCTCGCCTCTGTCTTATCAACACTCCGAACTGGGTTCGAACCATGTCAGTTCAGCGTATAATCTCGACATGTTAACCCCTATGCCAAATTGCCACGAGTGCCGTTGGATCATAGAGAAGATAAGAATTTCAAAGAAGACCATCTTAAACGAAATAGGGTGAAGACATATCATATATAAGATTTGCTCATAGTCTCGTAGACTTACTCATAACGAAAGATAAGTAATGGCCTTGATTACTAAAGCAAATATAAATTTGCTTCATCGACAATCCCAACATAAGAATGTGATATGAAAAAATGTCTGACTTTCCTTGAAATTCACATCTGCCCTGTGACTCAAAGGAACTTGTTGCAATGTGGTGTAGTGGTTAACGTGTCGAGCTTTCGTGCTGCATTGTCATGGTTCGAGTCCCTCTGGGGACGTTGAGGGTCGAAACAGCAGTCTCCTTCTGCCTGAGTGAGAAAAATTTCGTGAAAGCAAGGCTGTGTGAAATTCAATGAAAAGTCAGGTCTATTTGTATAATTGTGGGAAAATAGGATGAAGACAGCTTTAATAAGTTTATGTTTATAACAAAACAGATTCTCTTCACTATTTAATGAATTTATCATATCTTCTGAGAGTGAATCAATGCCCATCTGAGGCAATACAATCTGGCCTACTTTGAAGTCAGACAAAAAGTGCATAGTCATTTTAGAATTGTCATTATTCTGTTCCGCTTACGAAATCAGACTCATCATTTACTATGATCTATTCCGAAGTAGACTTCTTTGCTGACCGGAAAAGTATCATAATTCCTTCCTTGAAAAAACTTCTTTCTGTCGCATAAAGAAGGAAAAATGAAGCCGGTAATAACGAAGCAAGCGGTTTATTTCTGTTTAAATACAAAGGCATTAAGAAAGTCTTACGTTAACTTGGTAAAGTACAGTTGGGTTAGGCGCATCCAGTTTCATCAGGATATTTCGAATTTCTATGCATAAAAGGGAGTAATAATTGTTTTGAAGACAGAGGGAGGGAACAGGAGGGAACACTGTACAATGCTGTCAAGCCATCTGTCGTGGTTTCGTTTCTTCTCGGCAATAGTCATTGTGGGGCAAGAGGATCTCATTTGGCAGACAGAGGGAAAAGAGATCAAGGAATACGTGAAAGTCGTTTTTCCCAACGTTAAGTCAGCAGAAGAAGAGCTTTCTCGTCGAATTTACCTGGCAGACAAATGCAAAGTGTACTTGATACGGCCACGAGTATAGACGTAACCGTTTTCTCTGTCTTCCCCTACTTCGGGAGTCTTCGTGCCAAGTCTTCATCTGAAGCAAAACAGATGTCCCAAGAGAACGAGACCATGTTAACCTAATGCTATCCCCGGGCTAGGTTGAAAATAGTGTCTTCTATTAAAGTCATCTATCGTCCAGTGGACGCGAGCTCAGCTCACATCCACAAACTGTCCAGACCCGATCCTGTCGAGCGCACAGAAACAATGGTCATTGGGTAGCCGTCATTCGTCATTGGTTCTCCAGCAAAACTGGCTTATTGCCAGCATCTTCCAGCCTCCCTAGGCAAACTGAAAGCGAACCAAGTAGTACAATCTAGGCCTTACGGGCAGATCAACACTTTAGCAGACATGGAAGCCAGGTAGAGAGGATAAATGCTAAAAAGATTAGATGCAAATCGTAGCAGAAAAAGGAGTAGGCGGTAATCAGACACGCCTCCACTGTCCAAAGGAGTCCTAATTAATCTGCCTTGCGGGGGATGAAATGAGAGACGCCAGCAAATTGAACAGTGCATATATAAAGGAGATATGTACATTATATACCCAAACTCGACTCCAGCTGTCAACGAACTGGGCATATGAAAGCAGAACAACGATACTAAGAAAGCAACTGCTATTTACATTAATAGCGCAAACGGATTTGTAGGCCGAAGTGGAAACCTAGACGGGCCTTTGACAAAAGGGAGAACGGATACTATCGAATAGGACTAAAAGACAAAAGAAGAAGAGTTAAAAAATGAGTGTCCCTCTATTTACATTGGTACAGTAATCGAGGATGGCTGTACAAAAATTACACAAAGATGGAGTTCATCTTTCATGAGAGCCTATAATAGTGCGAATGGAGCCTTGAAGGTGCAAAAGAATTTTCTGTACCGGACGAACTAGGCACATTTGTGTGAAAATTAGAAAGAGCGCTAATGCAGGCTTGAATAAGAAAATATGAAATAATAGTTCTTGACAATCTTGAGAAAGTAGTAGTTGCTGCTCTTGTTCTATTCTTTTTGGCTGCCTGGGAAGGGCTGGTTTGTTCGGTAAAGATGAGATAACAATTCATCATAAAAACAATTCATAATGGACAATTTAAGCGGAAGAATGAGTGGATTATGGAGCTCTGTCATTGATTAGAGCAGACAATGTGCATCGATGAAAGTTATATATTTCCTATTGGGTCAATGGACGCAATGTCGACAGCGAGCATGCTTGACTGACGGAGTCGAAAAGTGGAAAAACGAGTCTTTGGTTAGCTTGTCTCTCTTCATCGTGAAGTTGGGTCTTTTGAGCCAGCAAAATGATGAGTTCTTCCGACTGCAATGGGCGTCTGCTCGTGGCATGTGTGCGCCTGCATGGAGTGCAAAGACGCATCATCGACGGAGTGGTTGAGTAGAGTCGAGTCTGAATGAGGCAGACGCGACAGGATGGGCGAGAACAGGACCGGGTGTCCTAGAAGTGAAGAGGAGTCGGAGAATTCGCACTAAAGGGCGGGTCGGAGCCGAGGAGTGGGCTCCGAGTTCACGGAAGAGTCGGTCTGCACTTCGTCGCCCACAAATCGACCCTCTTTACAAGCTGCATCAGACTTATAATCGCGATCTTCTTCACCATGGCCATCATGTGGCAGCGGAGCCAGATTTTGCTCGTCATCGGTGAATCCATCGTTCGCTTCACTGGAAGTCTGATAGTTTGTGCATTTTGTGGGGGACGGGTTGACAAGAGAAAACAAAAAGGAAGGACTAAGAAAAATAGAAGGATCAAGACTGGAGGTGAGGACAGAAACTGGTATGAACAGAATCACATCTCCTTTAGCAATTCACAAAAACTTAGTCTAGGTCGCTTAAGGTGTTCTAAGGACGAATAGCAGAATTTTCTCACGCTTAGATGAGTAGACCTTTCGAAGGGTATACTCATTCGGAGGTGACTCAAGTTTCGACCTAGCCTGGATCTCATCACTACCTCCAATGGGAATCGAACCCAATTAGTGTAGTGTATATTTTCTACAATATGTCATACACGGAATAGCCCTAGCGCCATTGGATTAGGAGGCAGATGTG